TTGCGCCAGCACGCCTTTAAACGTCCAAATGCACATTCTACCACCATTTTGTACTTGCTCAGCCTGTAGTTGAACAGTTCCTGACTACTGTCCAGGCTGCCTGTGTACGGCTTCATGAGCCATGGCATTAAGGGGTAGGCTGGGTCCCCAAGGATAACTATAGGCATTTCAACATCCCCAAAGGTTATTTTCTGGTCTGGGAATAAAGTCCCTTCCTGCAGCTTTTGAAACAGACCAGAGTTCCTGAAGATGCGAGCATCATGTACCTTTCCTGGCCATCCCATGTTGATGTTGGTGAAACATCCCTTGTGATCCACCAGAGCTTGCAGCACTATTGAAAAGTACCCCTTGCGGTTTATGTACTCACCAGCTTGGTGCTCCGGTGCCAAGATAGCGATATGGGTTCCGTCTATGGCCCCACCACAGTTAGGGAATCCCATTGCAGCAAAGCCATCCACTATGACCTGCACATTTCCCAGGGTCACTACCCTTGATATCAGCAGATCTTTGATTGCGTGGGCTACTTGCATCACAGCAGCCCCAACAGTAGACTTGCCCACTCCAAATTGATTCCCAACTGACCAGTAGCTGTCTGGCATTGCAAGCTTCCACAGGGCTGTCGCCAGTCGCTTCTCAACTGTGAGGGCTGCTCTCATCTTGGTATTCATGCTCTTCAGGGCAGGGGAAAGCAAGTCACAAAGTTCCATGAAAGTGCCCTTACGCATGCGAAAGTTTCGCAGCCACTGGGAATCATCCCAGACCTGCAACACTGTGCGGTCCCACCAGTCTGTGCTTGTTTCCCGAGCCCAGAATCGGCGTTCCACAGCATGAACCTGCCCCATTAGCACCATGATGCATGCATCGGCAGGGCCCATGCTTTCAGAGAAATCCGTGTCCATGTCCTGATCACTCATGTGACCGCGCTGACGTCGCCTCCTCGCCCGGTATTGCTCTGCCAGATTCTGGTGCTGCATATACTGCTGGATAATGCGTGTGGTGTTTAATGTGCTCCTAATTGCCAAAGTGAGCTGAGCGGCCTCCATGCTTGCCTTGGTATGGCGTCCGCACAGAAAAAAGGCGCGGAACGATTGTCTGCCATTGCTCTGACGGAGGGAGGGGCGACTGACGACATGGCTTACAGGGTTGGCTTCAGGGAGCTAAAATCAACAAAGGGGGTGGCTTTACATCAAGGAGTATTTCAGGCAGGACTTCACGGAGGGTTCCAATAAGAAATGGTGCACCTAAGTTATTGTTCTTATTGGAACAAGGAGGTTAGTCTGGCCTCTGATTGATACATGGCTAGATTTACCTCACTGCACCTTCTCTGTGAGTGACTGCAGTGTGACCTAGAGGAATGAGTCCCCTAGACAGGGGAGGGGGGGGGAAGCAAATGAGTACAAAACAAATCTGGTCTATTTTTTGTTTTGATCCACTCCATCTATCTTTTACATCTTTGGCTGGCAGCAGACGGTGCAAAAGGACTGCATGCCATCCACATCTCTTGCCTGCCCGCAGAAGATGGTACAGTGCGACTGCTAGCAATCCATATCGCCTGCCTGCTCACCATAAGACAGTTCAATAGGACTGACTGCAGGACTAAAGAGCATGACCTGGTCAAGTCACTCCAAATTTAGTCCCTGCGCCCATGTCTGCCCAGGTGCTCCTGGCCGACGTGGCCAGGAGCACCTCGGACATGACGATGATGGCTACCAGTCATATTGCACCGTCTGCTGCCACAAGGCAATGGGTTGCTGCTACTGTGTAGCAATGCCGTACCGCGTCTGCCAGCACCCAGGAGACATAGGGTGACGGTTACCTGAGCGGGCTCCATGCTTGCCGTGGTATGGCGTCTGCACAGGTAACTTAGGAAAAAAGGCGCGAAACGATTGTCTGCCCTTGCTTTCACGGAGGGAGGGAGGGAAGGGGGGCCTGACAATATGTACCCAGAACCACCCGCGACAATGTTTTAGTGCCATCAGGCATTGGGATCTCAACCCAGAATTCTAATGGGCAGCGGAGACTGCGGGAACTGTGGGATAGCTACCCACAGTGCAACACTCCGGAAGTCGACGCTTGCCTCGGTACTGTGGAAGCGCTCCGCCGAGTTAATGCACTTAGAGCATTTTCTGTGGGGACACACACACTTGAATATATAAAACCGATTTCTAAAAAAACGACTTCTATAAATTCGACCTTATTCCGTAGTGTAGACATACACTAAGAGATCACTGGGACAAATAAATGTTAGACATGCTATGCCTGAATTGTGGTTTAGTATTCTGTAGGCTTCAGTGCCTCTATTAAGTTTTTAATCCTCTTGTTCTGCTGATTTTTCTAAGAAGTCTTTGATTTTTTTCTGATAGTTTTGTTAAATATGACAGTGTACTAATGAACCTCTTTGCATAATCTCCTTGTCCTAATCAGAGAAGCCTGTAACATTTGATTCTCTCATTTCTAGAATCAAATTATGATTTTTTGTTGTTATATGGCTATCGCTTTTATGGACTAGTGGTTCCCTGCTCTAAAACTTAAACATTTGTCAGTTGACTGGAAGGTATTGCTGTATACTGCAGCATGAGAGCTGGGTTTGATTTCTGGCATTCCAGGTCAGTAGAGAAGTGGCTCTCAACCTTTCTGGATTACTGTACCCCTTTCAAGAGTCTGATTTGTCTTTCGTACTTGCAAGTTTCACCTCACTTAAACTACTTGCTTACAAATCCGACATAGAAATACAAAAGTGTCACAGTACACTATTATTGAAATATTGTACACGTACCCCTGGTTGAGAACCACTGTAGTAGAGAATGAAAGTGCTGCACAAGCAACATGAATAGGTTTAAGGGAAGGGGTAGTGCCGTGTGTTACTGAACGGTAGCCTTTCTGGACACACAAAATAAAAATGATGTGACTCAAAGGATGTTTGATATATGTGCTAGAATCATAGAAATATAAAACTGGAAGGGGCCTTGAGAGGTCAAGTACAGCCCCTTGCGCAAGGAGAAAATGGAGATCAGTTACTTTTTCCTTATTCATATTGGATATAGAATAGAATTAAATTAATTCTTACCATTATAGAATGAAGTGTAAGGTCTACATTTTTAAAAGCCAATGAAGTTGGTTTCTTGGTGACCACTTCAACTAAGTCATCCTGCTTAGGCATGGTCATTAATGCTGGCATAAAACGTAGACCGCTTTGGAAGTGTGTGTGGGTGGGGCGGATTTACATTTGGTAAGTTTTATAATGTTGAAATAGGAAAACAGGAACTGAAACTGTCTCGACCACAGCTCTGAATACAATCGGAATGAATTTTGGGTCAGACCTCCAGGAATACCAATTTGATGCCTTAAGGGCATAATGGAACAGAGAATTAAAAACAGGAGTCCTAAGAAATCAAGAAGGGTGTCTGATAAGCATCTGAAATACTTAGGAGAAAGCACGCTTTAGAAATGCAAGGCTAGATTTGTCTTTCTGAGTATATATGTTATGTATACAGCTACTTTTTAATCTGATTTTTCTGTAATTCAGTAAATCTTGTTTTTAATTAAAACATTTAAGTCTTGCATTGTTTTGTGGTAAAGTCTGTCATGCATCCTTGAAGGGAAGCTAACCTTCTGATCTCTTGTGAGAAATAATTGAGGTAAAAATGACTCCTATGTTGAAGCACTCAGTTGATGTGACCCCTAAGAAGTGTCATCCGTATGCTGTTTTGTCAGCATGGGTGCAAAGAAAACAGGTATCAGTCAGTGGCAGGAACAGAGTACTGAAGTTATAAGGGGAGAGGTCCAGATCCCACTTCTCAAGCACAGCAGAACCCTCTTTACTGACCCTCCCTTAACAGGCTCTACACATTTTACCAGATGAACCAGGACTCCAGGATCAGAAGTGGGCAATCTCTCCTGTGGCCACTAGATGGTGCTGCAGCATCACATTTTCCCATTTTCTGTTTTTTCCAGAATCTGGATTATCTGATCTGGTTCCGGTTCCAGTTTGACCAGATTAATGGGGAAATACCTCATAACTGTACCTCTGCAATAATGCTTTTAAGATGGGGGATGAACTGATAATACGTGTGTGCGTACAAAAGCTGCCTTACTTAATCCATACTCTTCAGTTACACCTCTAGTGAGCTATGGTCTTAAACAAAATAGATACTAAATATCTTGTCCTGTAAAAAAAACAAAAACAAAACAAAAAAACCCAACAAAAATTAAACTGCTCTATGAATCAGGTTGCAAAATAGTGAATGAGATTGGTTTTTAAAGGGCAGTGGGGAAACTTCCATAATTATACCAATAAACTTATTTCTAGCTGGTGAAATGATCATATTAGCCATATGAACTGAGATGTTGGTGATACTAGCAGAACTACTCATAAAAATACTAATTTTGGTCCTGCTCTGGCAAACTGTATGTTGATGGTTAGTGTGCGCTTGCATAGAGCCCTGTTGACTTAACGGGGGCTCTGTATAGGTGCAAGGGTCTACCTGATTGGAGCAGCTTGCTTGATCTAGATATAAAAAAGAACAGACTTGTTCAGACTTCCAGCATTTCAAATAGTATACTCAGGATTGTTAAGACTTGAATTTCATCTGTCTCACTGCCTGACCCTAGCAGTTAGGATAGTGCTACTTCTGGTCAGTGGTGTGTACATAGCAACTGCTGGACCAGCACGCATGTGTGAGAGAGTTATAAATTAATGTTGGTATAAAACACCAGGTGATCATATATCTCTTCTTTATCTACTACTTGATTCCCCTCCCCTGCTCCTTTCTCCACGGTTGTATGTAGGTTTTTTAGATTATTGTATGGATATGTGAAAAGATTTTACTTGAACAAGTACTTGACTCATCTATGAGATAAGCTTTATTAGAGTTTAATTCAGCAGCTTCACCATTTGCATGGAAGTCATGCTGTACTTGTCTTTATTTATGGTGTGATCTTATTTCTAATATTCACGAATATGTCCAATTACATTTTTGTCATTTCCTTGTGCATTGCAGCCGCTGGAATTACTCTGGCACTCATTAGATGAATGGCTAGTTCTAATAGCTACAGAATTGATGAAAAACAAGAGAGACTCTGCTAACATTACATCCATTTTACTAAAGCAGAAAGGGCCAAATCAGCAGGATGATACTCTTAAGCCTGCCTTTGATGCTGCAGGAACTGAGAGCAGAGAAAAGCTATCTACTGACACAGGGGATTCTAAAGCATATGATGTTGCAAGGAAGCAAGAAGCTTGTGCGGATTGCCAGGATGTTATCTCAGTGACAGCAAACAGGCTGAGTGCTGTCATTCAAGCGTTTTATATGTGCTGCTCCTGTCAGATGCCTCAAGGGTAAGGAGGATTCTGCTTGTTATCTAAAATTTTATTTTTTAAAATTAGTCTGATTTCTTGTGAAAATATGAATACTGACATATTAAACTAACGACAATGAAGGGATTTCTCTGTGCTTCTTTCATTTGTTCAAGTATTTTATTTTCCTAACGCTTCTAAACAATGTAGCTTACCTTCCTTTTCTTAGTGTTGCTGCTGTCTCATGAAAATTCTCAGTGCGATTCTGCTCACATTGAGTATCTTGAGTAGTTTTTGCCTTTTTTGTCTTATTACATGTGATAGTTGTGGGAAAACGTGATCTCCTGGGGTTCAACTACTTCCACTTTATATTCCACATGTGAAGTCCTCCCTAGTTTCACATAATTATGTTCATAACTGCTACTATAATTGTGATGTCAGAAAAATCAGAGCTGTCATTCATGCAAAAATAAGCACCGGTGGCAGAACTCATCTGACTTGATGTTGCAGAGAATTGTAATGGTGTACAAAACCTTTATCTCTAGGTCACGCCCATTATGAATTCAGTCCCAGGTTAGCAGACACTAAAAAGCTGTTACCCTATGACATCTGTTCTAATGGCCCATGTGAAATAGATTGGTGGTCTCAGTCCAATACCTATAAAAGTGGCAAAGAGTCCTGTGGCACCTTATAGACTAACAGGCATATTGGAGCATAAGCTTTTGTGGGTGAATACCCACTTCATTGGATGCAGTCCAATACCTAGTTAGTAGACAAGTGTCTCCATTATAACTGAACTCTTCTTGTTAATCTATTGGACATAAAGGATTGAACTTGGCTTGATAATATGCTACTTGCCCTGGAAGCATAACACTGTTGGTATTAGTGGGATAGTGTAAGAGAGCTTGTATTGCTGCTCCCTCAGTTTTACTAAGGCTAGAATTTCATTGAATAGTATTGTCCATGCAACACTTCTTTCACAAATTCAAATCTAAAAGAAAATGTTTCTGCTTTCATAAATATACTTAGCAGTAGGAGTAATAAAAAAAAACTTCTTGTCTAACTCTACAAGATTAGATTAGAATCCAGAGGATATTCCCAACAGAGCAAAATTAATTGAAGGCTGATCAGTTGTAGATGGAAGTTTTTTGACATGGGCAACATGTCCTCTTTTTTAAGTTGAGAAGGGAGTCAAACTTTTACAGTCTCCAACTCTTTCTAAATATTGAGTATACTTTGGAAAATAGATTAAAGAAAACTAGAAAAATAGGTTAAAAATAGGGTTCCCCCTCTAAGTGAGGATTATAATGATTGCACAAAACTCTTAGCCACTCAATGGTTAGCACAATACTGGATGTAGATATAGGGTAGGCTTAAAACCATAAAAACTTTTAAAAGCATTTAATATATTTTAAAATAACTTCAGGTCTTGGCAGTTAAGAGGAAGTTCCAGAACTGTTCTCCTGCAAGAACTGATAAATCAGAAGCCTAAAGCAGTGTAAAAGATGCAGTTCCCTAAAATGTTTGAGGTCTTTTATGTCATCACCTCTTGCTGGAGAAATACAGGTTTCTGAGTTCAGGTGTGGGCAGGTGAAAGGTCATGATCATATTAATGTCTTTTGGCTTGGTCGATACTACAGACTTATGTTGCTATAACTACATTGCTCACGGGTTTGGAAAATCCACATCCCTGAGCGACGCAGTTATGCTAACTTAACTCCCAGTGCAGACAGTGCTATGTCAACAGGAGGGCTTCTCCTGTCAGTATAGCTACCGCCTCTCAGGGAGGCAGAGTACCTACCAGGGATGTGGGTAGCATCTCCACTAAGTGCTACAGTGGTGCAGCTGCAGCTCTGTATGTGTAGACAAGCCTTTGGTATCTGTGTTTGTATTAAATGTTTTAGTTCATCTTCAGATGTTAATACCTTTTGAGATCTATCTTAAACAGTTAAAAGCTCCACTAAAAACATAGTAATGTTAACATTCTCTGTATATTTAAATATAAACTCAAGATGTTAGGTGCTCTTAACGTTATAGTAGAAAGGATGTATGCACTGGATGATACAATTTAGCGTGTACTCCCACCTGCATAGTGAAAGAAGCAAAAATTCTGCAGAAAAAGCATGTGATCAGTTAGGCTGTAACATAAATCGTACGCCCAGGAGAGCAGTTACTAGTCAGGCTGCATGACTCTTTGACTCTTCTTGCCTTCTTGTTTGCTTTACATTGCATCCACAGTGGTGGTGTTTAATCTTATAGTATAACTAGTTAGTTATATACTTGAAAAATCCTTTACCTCAACATGATACAGGGATTGCATAGGATTTTTTTACTTAAAATTACAAGGTTTGTTGTATAATCTTAAATTCTCCATTTGTTTTATTTTCATTGAACAAAAATTATTTACAACTAAGTACATTTTGTTTGTATTACAGGATGACATCACCTCGTTTTATAGAATTTGTCTGCAAACATGACAATGTTCTTAAGTGCTTCGTTAACCGGTAGGCCTTCAAAAGTTTGTTTTTACTTGACTAAAATGTTAGTTACAAATTCATATTTAATTGTGATTCAGAGGTGTTCGTTGCTGGGTACAATCCTGATCTAGCATGTATTCATACACATCTAATTATGCACATTAGTAGGCCCATTGCACTCTGTGGAAGTACTCCTGTGCATAAATGATGCATGTCCACAAGCGTTTGTAGGAATGAGGCTTGAATGAATATGTATCTAAGCAACTGTTCTGTATGTTTCGTATCCCAAAACTTGTCAAGAAAGAACTAGAACTATTGGTCTGTGAGTAGGTGCCATTTCCTACGCTGCTCCAAACACAGCCCACACGAGCGGTCAGAATTACCCTCCATCTCCCAAGAGTTTGGTTTACTCACAAAAGGAATGTTGAATGAAACATGTAGCCTAGTTTGTCTTCTCCTTATGCTTGGCTGCTCCCATAGTTCCTCTGAGGATTGCTCCGTCTACTCCCTTGTCCTCTCTCTAAAGAGCCTCTTTAGGTGAGGTGAGGTAATGCAAGCCTCCCGCGAAATGAGTCAGGAAAACACACTTTATGCAATGACCTTGTTTCTTGAAAATATCCTGTAATCATTTTTGGTTTGTTAGACTTTTTAAAATACCTTTTTAGGTATGCTCATTTCTGTCATGAGACTTTGGTTAGATCTGTGCACCTGCAACTAGTAAACTTCCAACCTAAAACGTTTTTTTTCAGAAACCCCAAAATAATTTTTGACCACTTTCATTTTCTCCTTGAGTGCCCTGAACTGATGTCAAGATTCATGCACATCATAAAAGCACAGGTAAATGTTAAGCACTGCTTATTTACATCTTCAATACAACACTCTTTTTTTTTCATTTGCACAGCCATAAAGTACTGATTAACTCTAAACAGTGGAGGTTAACTACCTCTAGTATTTGAGCTTAAACAAATAGATTGTGATAGTTGTCAGGGTGAACTTTTTAACTGCTATCTTTTCCACTTAAAATATAACTGAAGTACTTTGAGGACAATTGTGACCAACTGTTTCTGGCCTGTAGCTGCGCAATGATTAGTCTGAGTCTTCAATTTATAATTCTGCTATGGCTGCTCACTTCAGTCAGATATGTTGCCAGGACACTCTTGCTCTCTGTAGTATACCTCCTACCACCTGTCACGTGCCATCTGAGGTTAAAAAACTTGGGTATTACTGCAATTGCTTTCTTTCTTTTTTGTGTTCCTGTGAGTTAAGTAAAAGGGCAGGAAACAAAACCCAGTACAGTCAGTGTATTACTGCTGCAAACAAGGCCACACATGTTAGCATCGGCTGCAATGTGATCATTATCCAAGTCTGCATTAGGACTGCTGGTGGGTGGCTTGTGGCCAGCACTTTGTGTTTCTTTCAATCTTCAACAAATTGCACAAGAGAGCACCTTTACTCCTGGGGATAGTCTGGTGATTTCCTAATATTCTCTGTAGTCCTGCTCATTAGAAAGACCTATGATAAGAAACCATTTTTGTTGGTCCTTTAGACAAGTTTCTCTAAAGATTTGCTCAAATCCTAAGAAGGCATGGAGGCCAGCTCTGGGCCATGCTGCCTGAGTAGCAAAAATCTCTTTAAAGAAATTCTGTATTTTGAGAGTTATAAAGGTCTGGAGAGGATTCCCCTCTCCTCCATAATCCGGAAGGAAAAAAAATATTTTAAGAACTTAGAGTTTATGAACCCACATCCATTGCCATGTGACTAACTTTTCAGGGTATGGTGTGAGGTGTGTGCTAGCTGTCAGTGCCCTAGATGATTTTCAATTCTATTCCATATTGTACCCAGCCAAGCCCCGTATTCTGGTATCCTATCCACTGAAGCAAGTAAAGGCACGTTCTGCTTCCCCCAAGTGATGATCAGTGGGGAGAGAACACACCTCGTGTCAGGCCTTGTTCTAAGCAAAATCCCTAACAGTCGCCACAATTGTTTGAATCTTATGAGTCAAACAAGATGGAACTACCTTTCTGGTGAGATCTCCTGAAAAATGTCATTTTGTATAGATTTCTAGGGAATCCTGGCTGTTTCCATTTCCATAGCTCTTATTTGCTATTGAATTAGAGGTCACAAAAGTACTTTGAATTACTGTAAATCATACCTTTCATTGTTGCTGTCATTTTAATGACAGTGTTGACTTTTCTATCGAGAGTTATATTTGGTTTTTTGTTTGTATCTTAGAACAGCTTCTACTTTTAGTTTTAAGATAAACCTGCAATGGTGGACAAAACACCATATGAATAAGGATTTAAAATATTGAATTTCTGAGTCAGTAATTCTCATTATAGTCTCTGGAGTATCAGGGGACTCTAAAATAAAACATTCTGAGAATCCAACAGTGGGGTTTTGGGTGTTGTGAGGGGAGGTGGGTCTATGAGACTTTTTCCTTTATTAAATTGAGGAAACAGAGAATCAGTACCCTAAATGAGGAAAACCTCTTTCATCAAACAGCTTCTTAAAAACCAGAGCAGTTTCACATTAAGGCCCTGTCTATGCTACATAATTTAAATAAGTTTGTAACCACTTAGCAGCATGGTTGGCCATAAACATGATTTGTCTCCACAACTCTCTGTTCACTGTCAGCTGCCACAGTTGATAACCTGTCAAGTATCAGGGGGTAGCTGTGTTAGTCTATACCCACAAAAACAACAAGGCACCTTAAAGACTAACAGATTTATTTGAGCATAAGCTTTTGTGGGTAAAAAACCCACTTCTTCAGTGCATCTCAAATAATGCATCTTCAGTGCATCTGCCCCCTTAGCCCCCCCCCCCCCCGGTCCTGTGTGGAAAGGACTTCAAAGCTTGACGGTGTAACTGGTGAGGCCAGTCCTCCTTGCCTGAACACGTAACCCGCAATGCTGCTTCTGGCATTTTCTCTAAGCGTTCTGTCTGCTGAGATGTGTGAGATAGCTGCCCACATTTCCCAGAATGCACTGATGCAGTTAGCATAGTAAGTGCACATGCATAATTGTATTTTAACTATGGTTGTGAGATAGAAGTGATGTACTGAAAGACAAACACATAACTGGGTCACATGGGTGTCATGAACTGGTTACAAAAACATGACTGTACTTGTTGTATGATCAGGGCCTAACTTCGGTCAAAACCAAATCAGACATACTGAATTTCTCTCAAAGCTGAAGAAAATAACTGACTTAAAAACCAACCAACCAAAAACCATTCTGAATTTGCTCACTTTTACCGAAGACCTCTTCTATCATCGTATTCGGTAAAGTCCTATTATTGTCTGGTACTATTGATTATGGCCTCTTCAGCATAGGGGATCAATGAGGAATAAGAATGGAAGCATATGCTTGTGTTAATATGTTAAATAGACCATGTGGAGGATAGTTTCAAAGAAAACATTATTCGTGAGAATTCATTATTGAACTTAAAAGTGAGCTAATTGGTTGCAAATGTATTCAATTACAGATCTAATGTTCAAAGTGCCTGGACATAAGCACTTGAATTGTTAAGTGTCGTCTTTTCCAAATACAAAAATGAGCTATACAGAATGTTTGTATATTCTTTTCTCAGGATTAGTGCTTGATTTTGCTTTTAGTTCCTTTGTGAAATCTTGTTGAAATGTCTAATTACTCTTTAATGAAGTCCCTTACTGGAGCTTAATATTTAAAGTGAATTTAACAGAATGCTTTGATTACTAGCCTTGAGTATGATTGACTAATACATTGGGCATTTTTCACCTGTTTTGTTTTGTAGCCCTTTAAAGATCGTTGTGAGTGGTTCTATGAACATTTGCACTCTGGACAGCCAGATTCAGACATGGTGCACAGACCAGTCAATGAAAATGACATCCTGTTGGTTCACAGAGGTATTAGACTACAAGGAGAAGGAGTGCATGTATAAAGTGCGTAATATTTTTGTGATTTTCTTTTAAGATATAAAATTAACTAGTGTTTCATATTTAGATTCTATTTTTAGGAGTAGCTGTGAAGTTGTGTTTAAAGCAAATTGTGCAAAGCTAAAGCAGGGGATTGCGGTGCGATTCCATGGCGAAGAAGGCATGGTGGGTAAAACCTTCATAAACAATTTTTTGATATACATATAAATCATTTATACTAATTCTAACTAAAATTTTAATCTAAATGAAATTTTAACAATACTCTTATACTTTTGCTTAAGAAATATATTTGGTTACTCATTTTGTTAAACTATTTGTAAAATTAAATTTCTTTGTGCTGTATTGTTATCCTTTTGACATGTAGGGTCAAGGTGTGGTACGTGAATGGTTTGATATCTTATCCAATGAGATAGTTAATCCAGATTATGCACTGTTCACCCAGTCAGCTGATGGTATGTTGGTATCTCTTGTTCTTCTAACTTTACATTTTGCTTCAGCAAATGATCATAATCTAAGGAAAAGGTCAGATAAATTATTCATAATGCAAACCGTTATCAATTAAGATATAAAGAACAGAAAAAATCCTTTGCTATTAAAGAAATAGTGTGCACTGTCCATTAACTACAACTGAGAACTAAACAACTTTTATTAGTTGAAGTGTTGCTGACTGACTTGCCAGTATTGCTCTTTCTTTGGCATGGGTGGAGAAATTCTATTTTAGGTCTTTTTGACTTTCCAGTTTTATCTTCCTGTCTTTTTCTTGGTAGTAAGAAGACATACCTCATGCATCAGCAGCAAAAGGGTGCAGTCTTTCCCCTTGCAGTTACTTGTATGTCTGGGCTGATGCAGGCAGGATATGGGGAGTTTTTCATCACGTCTTGACATCAGCCCCACAACTGGTTTCTGCAGTAAAAACAGCTATTCATCTCCCTGGAATTGCTCTTCAGTGCCTAGCGTCTTGTCTCTTGGGTACCCAACAGATCTTCTAGCTGTAAAGCTTTCTTCAGCAGTAGGGATTGTCTGTCTCACTCCTTCTACCAGTTTCTTAGGAAACTGCAAAGAGAACCCAGCCAGCAAATGTTGCATCCTGAAAGCTGGGAAAAAGGATTTAGGAAGGTGTGTGAGAGAGACTGAACTTTCTGTCACCTTGCTTTAATAGATGAAGAGGAGCTGTTAGGCTTTAATCCTGCAAACACTTAAAGTATGTTCAGAACTTTAGCCATGTGAATAGCCATGGAACTGCTTATGTGAGTAAAATGATGCCTGTGCATAAGGATTGTCGGTATTGGGGCCTATATGTAGTAGCTCATTATTACCCTTATGATGAGGGTATCCCTGATTGTCTATTAAAATTCCATTTTAACCCATTTCTTTCCTAAATCACTTTAGTCCTGCTGAATGTAGTACAGAAATTACAATCTGAATTAGAATATGCTAAAAACAAACACACACAAAAACCAGAACAAATTTTTACTTCAGTGTTTCAGATAATCAAACAAGCTGATTACTTAGGTAGAAGAAAAATAACTTTGAAATAGACCACAGGTAAGTACAGCTACACTTAAGCAAGTTGTTTGGCTCTAATGATAGTCTATTGAACAATGCACGCTAATTCTAAAAGTCTGGAGAACTTGCTTCAACTTTTTATTATGTAGAAAGTTACCGAGAACTTGAAATTACATAATTAAAATTTAATTATACAGAGGAACATTTCCTCCTCCTTTTTCATAGTGTCAGACCTTGCCTATTGTAAGTTGTGCCCAAGTTTTGGCTATGCGTGTTTTATATTCGCTCTAGATGGCCTTTATACTTTAACTCCAAACCAGCAAGAATGTAAATATTTCTGAAAAATATTCAAATTTTTGTAAATTCAGTAGATTGAGGCGAAGAAGGTACACACACTTTGGCCCTGGGAAATGTTGTTTTTGTTTGAAATGTTAAGAATGTATATGTGCAGTAAGAAATATCAAAGTTTCAGTTTTAATCAGTAATTACAAGTTTTATCCTGTTTTTTTGCTTTTTGCTTTTTTTGCTTTTGGTCACAATAGATTGCTCAGAAAAGGGGATAGTGTGGGTGTGTTTTTGTTTTTGTTGTCCTACGAACAAATTGCAACTGTTGAATATATTTGAGAGATTCAAATTACAGTAAAAATTATATAGGCTGCAGTTGTAAGATACAGGCTAAAACTATGACTAAATATAATAGCACCCTTTTGTTTCATAGGAACAACCTTCCAGCCAAACAGCAACTCTTCTGTAAATCCTGATCACTTGAACTACTTTCGATTTGCTGGACAGATCTTGGGTTTAGCTCTGAATCACAGGCAGCTGGTCAACATTTACTTCACAAGGTCATTCTACAAGCATATTCTTGGTATGGTTCTATTAAAATCCTGTTTTAGACAACAAATTCATTTCAGTAAATGATATAAATGATGTGGCTTGGTGGTATAGTTACTTATGTACTAGGCTTTCATCTTCGGTGACCTATGGTAAAAAATGGTGGATGTGAAAGTAAGTCTTTTTTTGCGTGCATCAGAGTTGCAGCACAATACGTCATGACTGGCATTCTCTGAAGAAAGACTTAGATTGGAATACTAAAGTTGTTGAAAATGGAAGTATACTGGGTACTTCTGTACGGGGAATCTTAGTAGAGCAACTTTTGCGCTATATCAACTGGAGCAAATAGCTCGTCCTTCACTCTTATTAACCAATATATGAAGCTCACTTGTGGATTTTTCTTAAGAAAAAATTACAGTGCCACTGCTATAACCCCTTTCAAGTGTAAATATATAATTAGTGGCCACTGCCACTTTGCATTCGATTGTCTTTTTAAAAACATTCTTAGTTCAGAGACCAGAAGTACAGGCATTATAGCCAGCAGGTTTATTAGTTTTATCATGTAATAACACCCTGTTGATATTTAAATGGCACGTTCATTCTAAACCTTGTTTTCCAAGGTTTGTAATTTCTTAGATATGTTCTAGTCTGAAATTACTTATGTTCCTTAGCCTAGAAGTATGAGACCTTTCAGGAATTCTGACAAAAATCTCTTCATAGTGGATCCGTGAACTCTAATTCAAACATTCGGGGTTTTAACTTAAAACTCTATCCCTCAGTGAAGGGTGCTTGATTTGATAACTTATGAAAAAGATTGACTAAGAAGTTTTTCCAGTGAATGAAAATAGTTCCCCTCTCGCCCCCCTTCCCCCCTCCCTTTGATAAATTTGCAACGTTGTCTTAACTAAGAAACTTGCCAGATCTAGGGAAAAAAATCTACTACTCCACTCTTACCATAAACACCCACATACACACTCAGGTTCTCATCCCATTGCACCAAAGTAAATCTGTATTTTTACCACCACCATTACTAACCATTCCTTCCCCTAACAAATTTATTACTTCTCAGTAGTGGCTCGTTGATGCTGCTGCAGTAGCCTTCTCACCCTCTTTTTCTTTTCAATGGAACTATTTTTGAGTCATCATTTAGAATGTAAGTTTTGTGTCCTTTCTATAAACTATCCTCTCGGAATCTAACAACTCTTAATAGAAAGGAGATTATTCTTGCTCAAGTTTCCAAAGAATTTCATACCAATTTCTATAGTACCCTTTTGGTTTCACCCACCTTAAATTCTATGGGATTTTTCCATAAGAGTCTCATGGCTGCCATAGCTGCCTCAGCATAACCATGTCCACCAAAACCTCAAGTCTTTCTCCCGTGGGAGAACCCTAGTGTCTCAAAGATTGCCCCAGATGCAACAGCACTGTTCCAGTCCCCAGAAAGGTGCTGGAGTTCTGTTCTTTCTTCTTTAGAAATGGGGAAACTAAGAACTCTGGTGTCTTTGACTCCTCCCTGAGGAAAAAGCACGCATCTGTTCTTCTTTGAGGACCTCTGTGCAGTACCCTTATGGGATATGTTGTCTCTGGCATTGAGCTGCAGAAGAGCCATGAAAAGCAGTGTCCTTTGGGGAGTGCACGAGAAGTCTTGGATGAGGGTGACTTCATTTCCTACTAGGCTCATCTAGTGTCTCAGTGTGCCTACAGCCTGGATAGCCTGGGCTAATTGATGGTGCAGAGACCCCAGCCTCAGTGCAGAGGTTGTCTTATGCAGGACCCAAGATGGGTTTTACTGCTCTGGCATCAGTGCCAGCTTTTTACCATGGGCTTGAGACCAGAATCTCCTTGGTTGCATGCTGGGAATGAATCCTTCACCTAGCACCAAAGACCAAGTTGGCACCACCTTAAAAGTTTCTTTAGCGCCAGTGCTAACACAAGAAGTGCCCATCTTGCCACCCGCTCCTCACATGATGATTTGGCACTCCTTCTGTTCATCTACTGTCTCAGCTCTACAAGGGTTCATTCAGAGGTCCATTCAGGTAAAAGAAAGGAGAAGCAACACCTCCTCATGAGACACAAAAAAGAAAAGAGGATTTGTTGTGTCTCTCCTATATTCGCTGACACACAACTGCCTCAGAAATTCTCAAATGGTACCACTCTCATCTCTTTTCAAAGCTCCTTTTGAGTCGGACATCTCAGCACCAGTTAACTTGGACTTCTAACCAGTTCAGATCCCAATAATACTTTGGATCTTTCTGTGTCTGAATCTAATAACCACCCTACAGCATGCTTTTCCACTGCTTGACTCTAAACTGAAACTTAATCCTCCAGTCCCAATCAACAGGTGCCTCTGAATATCTCTGACCCCTTTGGAGATGAACTTTACAGGGTCCCCAGAATTGATCTCAGGGCACTGGACCTCTTCTCTTGTCTTAGGTCCAGAAGTCATGGAAATCTGCCATAGGCTTTCTTCAGCTGCTCATGTGGCCAGACATACAGGACTCTGAAGACCCGGCACTGATTGTGGCACTGGTTCCAATGCCCTATCTGGCACCAGGGCCCCACTTGGCATTGATGCCCTCATAGTACCGATCATTCATCCAGTACCAAAATAACCTTCCTCATCAGCACTGATGCTGCCACTGAATCCAGTAGATGTGCAGGAGGACCTGCCTGTATCTAAGGAATGGGATGAGACTCCTTCAGAGTAACCATCTGAGTCCCCTTTGGAGGAACATACAGATAGTACCTTTCCTGAAGACCAAATTGGTTCCTCATCTGTTTACACTCCAAACAATCAGACTGTTTCAGGGGCTCCTGGGAAGAATGTCAGATACACGTCCGCTGCAAATGGGTCATGGCACCAGAGATATCCAATTCCGTTTGACATATTACAGGTACAGACTAGTGAGGAGTAGTCTCTGCCTCTTATTCTTTGATGGGTTGAGGATGACAGAACTATTTGACTATCTCCTTTTTCTTCCTTGTCTGCGACCAGGTGAGCAGACAGGATGTACAGTCCAGCAAACAATGGACATCAAACAACTTTTTCCAGCCAATTCCCTGGTGGTGTCTGCAGCATTAGAGAAAGTTAGAGGCAACAAAACCTCTCTTTCTGCTCCTGACCGAGGGATGTAAGCTGGATGCTTTTGGCAGGAGAGCCTACATGTCTAGACCTCCCAAATGGCTGATGACTAAACCATCTTGTCCTTCTGCAGTTACACTCTGGGATGCCATGAGCCCCATCTTGGAATCTTGACCGGAGGAACAGAAGGAAGTGGCTAAGTCCTTGGTCACAGATAGTTGTATGCTCACAAGACACTCTTAAGACCAGCATATGGTGCCTCAGACTTGAGTGCAAGGACAATGGCGTAGTTTCTCCTCCTACAGCTTCTGGTGCACGATTACTTTGGATCAGTGGATAGTGAACAGCACTGATGATGGATGCTCCATCCAGTTCTGCACCAGGCCACTTCACCATTCTCTCCCATCTCATGAGAGAGTCCTATGGAAGAGGTGGATTCCCTCCTCAAGAAGGGAACCATAAAGGAGTTTCCAGAGGAATACTGTGGGAAAGGATTTTAACACCTTGGTTTCCTGATTCCCAAGAAGAGTGAATGTCTGAGGTCCATTCTGGATCTCACAAACCTCAACAGATACATAAGAACATCTCTTCCATTTCCCTGATTCCCAGGGTCACATAAGGAAGATCAGGTTGGAAAGAGCAAACATCATAGTAATAGCTGCAACATGGTCTTGTCAGCGCTTGTATCCAGATCTCCTGCTGCTGGCCATGGTGCTGCTTTTTCATTGGCTTCTGTCCCCAGACTTCTTGTCTCAACAGCAAGGAAGGACTCTTCATCCTAGCATAGAGACACTCCACTTGTTATCTAACTTCTAAGCTACTCTGGGACTAATGTGAACAGTTCCTGATCTCAGTGACCTCAAGCCATTCTCTTACAGCTTTTACTTTGAAATGTTGTTATAAATAAAAATGGCAACTGTTGTCTGGGTGGCTTTGCTATATCTGAAGCTGAAGTTACTTCAATCTTTGAGTTCCTTCTAAACTTAGTCTCAGGATTTAGTAGTCTTCACCTCTCCCTGAAGGTCCATGTGGCACCAATATCTGCTTATCAGAATGTTTTGTTAAGGACAAACCCTTCTTTCACTTTACAGGTTCCTCAAGGGCATATTAAATGTTCCACCCTCTCGCCAATTAGAGAGTCCCTGTCAACACGGGATCTAAATCTTGTCCTAGTAAAGCTATTGGGACCCTCCTTATGAGCCTCTCGCTCAGGCTTCTCTCAAGCATATATCAATCAAAATGGCCTTCTTGATAGCAGAGGTAATTGGTAGGAAGATGAGCAAGTGAGCTTAGTGCTTGGATCACCACTCCACTCTATGCTGTGCTCATAAAGGACAAAATCATCCTGAGGCCGCATCCCAACTTCATGCCTAAGTTAGTCTCAGATTTCCATCTATCTTAGTCTATTTCCTTTCTAACACCTCATTCCCACCCAGGGGAAGCAGATACACTAGATATCTATCTGTGTATCTATCTATACACAGATATAATCTATATATCTAATATAGATATATATACAATATATTGTATATATATCCTATAGATATATATACAATATATCTATATTTTTACCTGGAAAAAAATTAAGCCCTTTCAATAATCAAATTGGTTATTTGTAGCATGTGGGAGAACCTATTACCAGACACTCTCCACAAGATTACATGTTGCTATGTTCCATATATTACCTTCGCTAGGAAAACAGTGCCTCATTCGAAGACTCACTCCACAACCACCACCTCAGTGTCAGTGGCCCATCTTAGGCTGGCTTCCCCTGGTGGAGACTTGCAAAGAAGCCATTTGAGAATTCAGTGTACACTTTCACCAGATGCTTCTCCTTAGACTTAGCATCATGCTCCAGTGCCTGGTTTCGTGTAGCAGTTAAATTGTCCATATTTAGCTAAGAACTTCTCACCCACTATCTACCTGGTTGAGCCATGCTTGCTAAACTCCCATATGTGAGAAGCATATAGGCTGGTAACTAGTGTGGTTACAGAGTTAACTCTCTGTATTCATGCTACCGGGCCCCCCTTCCTCTTTGCTGTGGAGTAACATCAGGACACTGTAGTTTGGAAGAAGGAACTGGGGTAATTCCTTATGTAGAGTAAGGTGGTGATGTCACTCATACACAAGAACTCTTGTGCACCTGCCAGTGGATGTAGTTTTGCAAAGTAGCTTGACACCAGGGGTGACACATTGCAGTGAACTGCACAGAGGTAGCTCTTTAATAGTTACTAGTAAGTAATCTCGTTCACATTACTGTGCCGGCAGAGAAGAAAGCTGGAACTAAAAATTAAAGTCATTTCTTTGGCTCTGGCTATGACTGTGTGATAGGCAAGGAGTGACCAGGGCTGAGATTGGAGGAGCTGTTGATCTTCCCTCTTTCTCCAAGGAATCACGGGGGGGGGGAGATGGGGAAGGATCAGGTTAGCAGTGGTGCTTTCAAAATGTAAGCTGTAATTTAGATGTGTATTTGGGAAGGGGGATAAAAATAGGAAATTCTAAAACTTCTTTCTGTACTCAGCTGAGCCTCTAACAACTTTTGCTTTTCAGTCTCTTTACATTATAAAAGCAAATCTGGAAGTTGGTTTAGAGTTTCACAACTTAGTTTTTGTACTAAAAATGATTTGTAGCTAGACCACAATTGTTGCTGAAAGAGCAGCAAGTCTCATAGGAAATTGTAGAAAAAAGAAATCTAAAGAGCCAAGGAAATTAATTTATTCTGAGTATATAAAAGATCTCCATAACTACTTTCTTAGTATTTTTCTTCCAACTACAAACTGCTTTTTAGTGAAAAGAGACATTTTTTAAATATACTAAAGCAACTGGTTTTGTAAAACTTACTGGTTGTAAACACCTGTTGGACTGGTGTATTTTCATGAGGCTGAAGGTGTATGGGGTTGAAAGCCTTGGGCTTCACAGTGAGGCTTGAGTCAGTGTCCCAGGAATGTACACTTGTTGTAGTTTGAGTAAATGGTGTGTAACTTTTTGGTTCACCAGGAGAGTCTATATCAAAGGACATGTTTTACTTTCTATGGCTGTGTCCAAAATACAGAAGATATGGCAAGTTTAAATTCTGCAGTGTATCATGACTATAAATGTTTTTTTATCCTTGCATTATTCCAGTCTCTCTCTAGAGGGCAATCTTCTACCATAGAACAAGCAGGCTAAGGCAAACTGAATATGTGGATTTTGATTTTATTTTCTCAGGTATTCCTGTAAATTATCAGGATGTGGCATCTATTGATCCAGAGTATGCAAAGAACTTGCAGTGGATTTTAGATAATGATATCGGTGATCTTGGGCTGGAACTGACCTTCTCTGTCGAGACTGATGTGTTTGGAGCAATGGAAGAAGTGCCTTTGAAACCAGGGGGTGCAAGTATTCTTGTTACACAAGACAACAAAGTGAGTGTTCATGTTTATCCAGAAGTTACTGATAAGAACAATTGAACTGACTTATGAGTGAGTAGAAGCATAAATTATGTACTTAAAGTAATCATACCCACAATATTAAAAAGTAGCTGGCAAAATGGTCCGCATTCGTATGTGTCAGTAAATTGGGCCACTCTTCTGAAGAAAGTTCTTTAAACAGCTCTCCGAAATTGTCTGTCTCCTCTTTTGTTGGAGTTTTTATGAAGAAAAACAAGGTAAAACTCAAATGAAGGACTTTTTAGAAGTGACATCATACCTGTATTGCACATGGTCAGGCTCTTGGCGGGGGGAGAGGAAGGGGAATATTAACAAGGAACACCTGTGGTGCCTTTCAAAAATACAGCTGTAGGTAATGTTGCTTAAGTGTTGCAAAATTCACTGTTAAACATGGCCTGTTCACTGAGCAGTGGCGTATTTAAGGTATGTTGGGACAGAGAAGTGCAGAGCACCCAAAACTCCATTTGAAGTCGGTAGGAATTGTGCTGCTCAGCTACCCAGACAGTTTGGCCTTATGTTATCATTGAACAAAACATGGTGTGAATTCATTCACTTAATGGAAAGGAATAGGATTTTGAAATAAACTTATTAGGCCTTTCATCTTTCAACAATTCCAGGCATATTTTATGAGCCAAAAACAGAGTTTAACCGTAGAACATTTTGATCTGTGTAAAGCGGAAGCTGACAAACAGAATTATAACTGGGTTAAAATCTGTGTGGTAGCGCAGGTGGGCCTAATATTTAAATACAGTACTAAAGCAAAGTCTGTTTCTGTTCTATGTGCTAAATATTTTGTAAGCAACTTGCTGCTGGTTGTGCTACATAAAAACTAAACCTAAATTAAATATGTACAGTATACCCTGTGGCTATAAACCCTTGAAAATGGAATGGAATAGTGAAATCTAAAGAGAATTTTTTTTGGAAAAGATATAAAGTAATGTAGACTTCTAAAATTTAGTACTGAGATTTGTTTCCTGCAGTGCCTACATGAAGAAAGTCATTAGTCTGGTGTGTAATTACCATAACACGGGTTAAAATAGTATCCTTTGCCCAGCTCTTCTTAAAAAAAAATAGTTCTAAATTATGATATAACTTTCCTTTTTATTGAATTTTGTCCTTTATTCAATAGCTAAAGGCTGCATGAAGAATACACTTCATGTTCAGTATTTGGTAATATGCCTTCATGTTACTGACACTTCAGAAATTTACCATATGTGTTTTCTTCATTAATCTTTCCATATGTATTAAATGGTTGTTTGGTGGTGGTTCTGTTACCAGTACAAGCACACTGTGTATGAATAGATTTAAAAGGAAAACTGTGCTCAGTTTATTCAATGTAGTGATCTGAAAGTTCCCAGGAGAAGCATTTCCAACCATATATAAGTTGTTTAGTATATATGAAAATAGTTTTAATCACAGTTTTATTTGTGACATTGAGAGTCTGGGAGTCCAGCATCGTAGAGTCATATAATCCTTTTCATTGTTAAGCAAACGAGCATGAATATAGTTGGTGTTATAACTTTAACACTTTGTAGAAGAGTAAAGCAGACATTGTTCCAATCAAATTTTGTACTTTCTTTGCATTGGTTCTGACTTCAGCATACGATGTATGTATAGCAGGGATCGGCAACCTTTGGCAACTGGTCCCATCAGAGAAATCTGCTGGCGGGACAGTTTGTTTACCTGCAGCGTCTGCAGGTTCTTCCGATTTGCAGCTCCCACTGGCCGCAGTTCGCTGTTCGAGGCCAATGGGGGCTACGGGAAGAAGTGGCCAGCACATCCCTCAGCCCACACCACTTCCCACAGCCCCCACTGGCCTGGAACAGTGAACTGTGGCCACTGGGAGCCGCGATTGGCCAAACCTGCGGACGCTGCAGGTAAACAAACCATTCCGGCCCGCCAGCAGATTTCCCTGACTGGTTGCATGCCAAAGGTATCCCTGGTATATAGTATTTGTCTAGGTTTTTGTTGGTATGATACTAGGCTGTTATATTGGCAAATGACCACTTGGTGTCATCATTTATTTTAACGTTTTCTTGTTTCTGGGACTTTGACAGTGAATGCTTACATGCATACTCTTCCTTTCTATCAGGGCAGAAATGTCATTCAGATAACTAACATGCATGTTATGAGACTGATTCTCCACTGTCTTGTACCATTCAGAATTGGTTTTCCACCCACTTTGCACAGGTATAAATGACTACACAATGCAAGTCAGTGGAGATTTGGCCCCTTTATCAATATTCTACATGGATGGAGTCAGGGAACAAATACACTGTTGCTTGTTTCCAGTCTTTTAAATTCTCCTTGTATATATTATATTTTAATATAATATAATATATCCTACAATAATTGGTGGTTTCAGTGTTGCCATTATAAAGTCTATCGTCTATTTACAATGCTCTTTTCAATATGAATGAAGTTAGAAATTTGCTAACATGATGTTATCCCTAATCTAATATTTAAATTCTTCTGTTTGACTTACCCTACAAGAATTTTACATAATTTAGTTTGATAGTTTTATGTATATTTGCTTTATAAATATTCTCATACTACTTCAACTACATGCTCAACGCTGACCTGCAGAGATCCCCTCTAGAGGTGATATCTCTATTCCCTTATTGTCCGTAGCACCTTTTGATGTTGCTAATTTTTGTGGTGACTTTTGAAATATGGATGTTAGTCCCTTAGGAATGTGGAGATTATCAAACTATTTCATGAGCTTTCTACTGATCTGGGCTAGATACAGTCTAATGATTTAAAAGTCAAGGACTCTGTATCCTATGCCAGTTCTTGGACATACCTATTCATTCAATATTTTCTTAATGACCTGGATTTGTACTGTATAACTTAATGGTTCTGGCAGATTTGAAAAATGCCTGTGCTTTCAAGAGTACCAGCTCATAGAAAACTTTTTTTTGCTGGAGTCTGTTGTAGCACACTCTGATAACATGATCTGTCAGTCTAAGCTGAGCTTTGATCATTTACTTGGCCTCAACTGGCCTCAATTACTGTTTTTGTTCTTTCAAGGACATTAATGTTTGAGACTGTCTTGCCAGTTGACTTTCAGAATAGAGTAGAGGCGGCATGTGTGAAATTTTTCAAGTTGCTTAATATGTCTGCAGTAAACTGATGTTTCACACCTGTCTAAAAGGGATACTAATAGTGCTGCATTGGGAATTATCAGTTTCAAGTGTTGGATGGTGTGCTGGTTGAGTATCCTATGGCAGTGTCTTCTGAAGGCCTGGCTTGCCTTTTATATTCAACTTGCTATTTCTTGATCCAGCGAACCATCTCTTAAGATAGTACTGCCCAGGTATGTAAAGTTATTCAGTCTTGGCTTAAACAATAAGTGGTGATATTTGCCTGGTGGTTGGTTGGAAGAAGACTTTTTTTTTTTCCAGGCTGATGTTGAGTTTAAACTGTTTAGTTGCCTCAGAGAACCTGCCAAGGATAAACTGTAGATCAGTTTCACTATGGCGAAGTGGCGTACAGTCATCCACAAAAAGGGCTTCACATATGAGTTCTTCAAGAATTTTTGTCTTTGCAGTAAGCCTTTGGAAATTGAATAGTTTTCCATCAGTTCCGCACCTTACGTAGATGCCCTTTGGAAGGCTGGTCATTGCGTAATTCAGAACAGCTGCAAAGAGACCAGAAAGGGCCAGTACCAGCACACAGGTTTGCTTCACTCCATTATGTGTGGGAAATTGTTTAAAAGGTCACTATCTGAGAGGACTTGACCACTTGCGCCTTTGTGAAATTGATATATGATGTTGGCAGATTTGGTGGAGCAGCCAAACTTTTCTAGAATTTTGCAGAGGCCATTTCTGCTCACGGTATCGAGTGCTATTTTTAGATAAATGAAGACAGTATACAGTTCTGTGTTCAGCTTTTTTTTTCCTGAATCTGTGTCTCAACAAAAACCATGTCTTTGGTGCCCTGAACTGAACTAAATCCACAGTGGGTCTCTGGTAGAAACTTCTCTGATACTGTTGTGACAAGCTGATTGAGCAAAATATGGGTGGTGAGAATTTTTCTACTAACAGATAGCAGAGTAATACCCCAGTAGTTACCACAGTCAGATTTGATGCCTTTATTTTTGTATAGTGTAACTGATTGCATCTTTGAAGCCCTGAGGAATTTGCTTGGCTTCCCATCTTTGATGATTTCATGTGGATAGTTGACAGCATTTAGGCCTGCAGGTTTTAAAGATTTCATCTGAAATGTCATCTTTGCCAGATGATTTACCTGACTTCATTTGTTTGATAGCTCTTTGCACTCCTCAATGGTAGGTTTGGGTGATTTCTTCATATATGGGGTCAATTCCTCGAGCACCTGTGGGTTGATAGTAAAGGGTGATTCAGTGGCTCAGTGAAGTGTTGTACTCATCTTTCAGAGATGCCTCATTTGTCCTTGATTAAGATAGATCCACGTGAATTCTTTAGTGGAGCTGGTCCAGATTTTGATGGTCATAAATAGCTTTCAGGAAATCCTAAAACAATGTTATGTTAGTATTGACATAATGCAGTGTTTCTTCTGCTTTCTTTTCCCACCAGTTCTCCTGTAGGAATGAATGCAGTCTTTAACCCTTGGCTTGCAGGTACTTGAATTTATCTTTCTTTAATGTTGTTTTTGTCATTTTGCCAAGACACACACACTATTCTTTTGCTTGAGGATTTTTTCATTGAAACAATCCTGGTGCCATCTTTGATGTATAGCTAGAATATCTTCTGAGCCTTGAAGAATGGCCGATCTTGAATATATTCCACTTTTACAGTACATTATTGGTCGATGGTGTAAGGTTATCAGACTTTTCCATTAAGTCTTCCCTTAGTTTTTCTTGAAGAAATGGATGTCTCAGCTTTGCTATGTTCAATTTTAGATTTAATATCTTCAGCCGCATGTAATTTAAAAATGGCTCTGATCATTGTGTGGTGATTCCAGCTGTTCGCCCCTTGCATTGCTCTGGTGATATT